CTCCTCACCCTTTTCCTCACTGACCACCTGCTGATTCTCATCCTTCCGGGGCTGGAGGCAGGAGCAGGGACGTGCTAACTTGACTGACACTGTTATAAACGGACTTCGCTCTGTCCAGTCTTGGATGATGTTTGCGGATGACTTTCTCCCAGAGTCCTTTCCTGTGTGCAGTGCCTCCTCCTCCTCACCCCATCACTGGAAACCTGACCTTGTGGAAGGTGCCATGCTTGTCCTGGATCACCACTTATTCCTTCTCCAGCTGCTAGGAACCATCAAAGACCAACCAGATCACATGGAAGAGGCCTCCCCACCCCGGCATCCAAATTAAAGGCCTCATGTTGAAACATCCTTAATTCAGCCGCTGAGAATGCTTTCCTTTCCACATCAGGACACTAATGAGCTGAAAGCGATTACGAGACAGAACTCCTTTGTCTGAATAAAAGACACGCGTGCTGACCTCACCCTGCCCGCTCCGTTTTCCCTTGGATCACAGCAGATTTAACGTGGCTTTTGACCCTGAGCAATTTCGAATCTTGACTCCGGATCTGACAGCCTGACACCAGACTCCCAGCCCCACAGAATTCCGAGGGAATTCCTGAGACAGTGAAACTGATGAAGAATCGCAGCTCCTGCGGCAGTGGCCTTTCCTACAGCTGCCGGGACCACCTTGACTCGCGGTCTCAATCGTCTGTGGTCGGCTCTTTAGCGAGAACGAAGCCAAGCACAAAGCCCTGACCTCTGCCCAGCCCTCCAGCCTTGCACCATCTCCTGGCCATGGACAGACTCTAACCATGCCCTCTGCCAGGGTGAACCTATCCTACGTGTAGAACAGGTCAAATTCAAAGAGGGTGGTCACGGTCACAATTCAGTTTTAATGACTGTGCCTTTAACATCACTGAAAATGTCTATTCTAATCACCTTCCGTCAAGGGCTTGGGGATGCCCCGATCATATGCCCTCCTCACCCCCGTCGGGTGAGGCACCTGAAAAATGAGGGAAGGTCAGTCTTTTCCAGATCTTCTCCATTACAGCATCCCTGTGTCACTCAGGAAAGAAGGAACAAACTGTCTGGAAACCACATAAAGAGGATGGTTTCCTCGGCCAGTGCTACCTGCCTCTGAGCCTCAGGTACACGTCCCGCCTGCCTGCTGTGCTCTGGACAAACGCTTTGTGCCAGGCGACTTCTGGAGAACCACTCTGAAAAGCCAGCTGGAGAGCAGCCTGGGACCAGGAAGCGCACACTGCACAGGGGCCACCAGGACTGCGGAGCGTGAGTGCCGTGTTCTCCAAAGACACTGCATCGCCCGCCTCCTGAGCTCTCCGCCCCTGAGTCCCAGGCCCTTCACCTCCCTGCCCTGGAAAGAACCCACCGTCCTCACGCCCTAGAACAGTGGTTCTCAACCTTCTGGCCCTTTAAATACCGTTCCTCATGTTGTGACCCAACCATAAAATTATTTTTGTTGCTACTTCCTAACTGTAATGTTGCTATTGTTATGAATTGTAATGTAAATATCTGATATGCAGGATGGTCTTAGGCGACCCCTGTGAAAGGGTCGTTCAACCGCCAAAGGGGTCGCGACCCACAGGTTGAGAATCGCTGCCCTAGAACAGTGATGGTGAACCTATGACACGGGTGTCAGAGGTGACACGCGAACTCATTTTTGGTTGATTTTTCAAGTGGCATTTAAATATATAAAATAAATATCAAAAATATAAGTCTTTGTTTTACTATGGTTGCAAATATCAAAAAAGTTCTATATGTGACACGGCACCAGAGTTAAGTTAGGGTTTTTCAAAATGCTGACACGCCGAGCTCAAGAGGTTCGCCATCACTGCCCTAGAACATCCTAGATCTCTTCACTCGTCTCAGGAACACTCAAGGAACCTAATACCATGGCACACTCACCTACCTACAAACACCCTTTTATTTTTCAACTCCTTAGAGAGCACACCAATTACTTTTTCCCCTGGGGAAATTAATATAGGGTACAATGCAAACTCCACTAAGGATTTTCCTGGAGGTATCAGATTTTGCCCAAAACAATCATGGTACCTGAGATCTAGTTTCTCCCCATCTTCTCTTAAAACAAGACCTGCTGCTGCTGCCCTGGCCAATACCCCCAAAACCTCCTCCAGCCCCTCCCAGGGCTTGCTGCCCCAGGCACTGGGTGTTCCTTCAGCTCCTCAGTGAGTTCTACCCCTCTACCTTCGCTGCATGCACCTCCCTTTTGCATGGCTGGTACCTTCTCAGCTCTCAGGTCCCACCTCCTGTCCCCTACCCACGAGGCCTTCCCCAACAGCCTTTCTTCAAGGACACCTCCCTAATATTATTTTTTCAAACTCTTGTTTGTTTCCTTCAGAGAAGTTACACAGTTTAAAACATTCTGTGTCTCTTCCACCTCAGAATGTATGCTGAGCCCTCTGTCCTGGGGAGTGACAAGTATCTACAGAAAGTGCTTGTTAACAAGCTCCTTGTTAAACACAAAGTAGGGTGGCTGACAGCGTTCCCGCTTTCTTGCAGTGAATGTCTTAAAACTCACAGAAATATGGGCTCTGGACAGTGAGGGGAAGGGCCCTCTGCAGAACCGAAGAACAACACAGCGTTGTGGAAGACGCTCCGTTTCCCAATTAGACAAAAACCGAAACAGGTGAGCTTCTACCTGCAATCCTGGTGATGATGATGATGGTGGTGGTGGTGGTGGCTTATCATGTGCCAGGGACTTGATATATTTATCTCTGATCCTCAAAACTACTCTGCAAGATGGGGACTATTATAAATGCACATGACACACATGAGCAATCTACAACTCCAAAGAGACCTAAGGCCACTCTGTGTCTAAGATAATTACACAAATGCCATACTAAAACTTTTTGTCTCATTCTGTCAAAAGATTTAGTTAGAATGTTTTCTAGAGAACCCGTTAAAATACACACTCGCACACTCACACCTAGGCACACATGCACGCACACCCCGCAATTCCTCCTACCGCCCCATCCCCACACTGGGCAATAAAAAGTCGCCAACGTCATATTCAGATCAAATGGTAGATTTATTGGCTGTCTCCGTTACACGAGGTGAGGACATCTCAGTACAGAACTTTCGAAGCCTTGTTTCTGTTTTGGCTTCCGCTGCGTGGAGCCCAGGGACAGGCGCAGGCTGGCAGTGCACAACAGAAGCCACTGCCACTGGCTCACTTTGCACAATGATTCATTCCGCAGGCTTAGGGCACTTCCTGTTTTCCCTTTCATAGCATCTTCCTCTTTTCAAACTCCTTCGGAGACAGAAGAAAGGAAAAAGATAAAAGATCCAAATTACATTCATGATCAAAGTGATTTGAAAGCTCTTCAGGATTCTTTGAACAACCAAAAATTACAGAAGCAAAGTGTACCAGGACGAGGTACTTGACTACAAAATAGCAGCTCTCAAATTAGTCCATGTCAGCCTCAATTTCACTGAGCTGGAGGCAGACCTTCAGTTTTACGCCTCCCAAACGTGTAGGCAAGAGGCTGTGAATTATAGTTATTTCTCCAGGGCAGAGTTGTTAGGAGGAGCTGGCAAACCTGGTTGTGCTTACCCAGGCTTTTAAAGCCATATGTGAACCACACTGGCCCTTCCCATTAGGCAATGGAAACTGGTTTCACAGACTCAGTTAAGATTTGAACAAAAGATCAAGAAAATCAGAAATATCTGTGAGGAAAACAGTCCTGAGAATCACATTTCTCTAGACTGGAACAGCAATTCGGAGAAGCCTGCTGCCACTTACTGGAGTGAAGTGGTAACGCAGGTCTCCAATGTGAATTTTTAAGCACTTGCTTTCCCCTTCCCCTCTTTAAAAAATCTGTCTCCACACGTTCTAATAACCCAGATTTCTTTAAACACTATGGCATACAGTTACGGCGTCATATTTCAAAAGACAGGATCATGCTTTTGGAATAAAATAAGGAGTCCATTTTATAATCCCTAAAACAAGGGTAAGATTGCACTGTTCCCTCTTGGGAATACAATTTGGGCCTGTGTCCTGCTTAAAGTCTGATGTTTGTTTGCTTTTTGTTACGGCTATAATCATAAAAAACAGAGAGAGCCTTAAATGATCACGCAAAGAAACCAGCTGAGACTCATTACAAAGGGATTATTGAGGATAACAAATCTTAGAATACTTTAAACCACAATGTCCTATTAAAAAGAGAAACAAGTCCAGCTGGTGTGGCGCAGTGGTTGAATGTTGACCCATGAACCAGGAGGTCACGGTTCGATTTGGGTCAGGGCACATGCCTGGGTTGTAGGCTCAATCCCCAGTAGGGGGCATGCAGGAGGCAGCCAATCGATGTTTCTCTCTCCTATCCTTCTCTCCCTCTCCCTTCTTCTCTCTAAATTCAATAAAAACGTATTTTTAAAAATCTTTTTTAAAAAAGGGGGAAAGAAAAGCAAATGTTTAAGAAGTCACCCTCCAACCTGTAACAATAATGACCTCCCATCCCAACCAGGGCCAGAAACTGAAGACCTGAACGCTTTTCTCTAAATCTCCCTCCACCCCAACTCCCTCTTCTCCAGCTTTAATTCCTTATTACTCAGCCGCCACCCCTCCCACTGGAAACAGATAACGATGGGAGGGGGATAGCTGTATCCCAAAGGCCCTCCGTGGGGAAGAAAAACAAAACACAAGGCCATTTTTTGACGGCTTCTAGAATGGAATCTGTGGTATTTATGGACTATGAAATGCTTTCCTGCGAATTATATCCTGCCACTCACAAAAGAGCAAATCCCAATGGTTAATTTAAAAAGAATTGTTTTTAATCAGATCATCATTCCTGGTCTTGCCCGTGCAGGACGTTAGGACATAAAGAGAGTTGCCAGGGACTGCTGAGCTGCACAGAGAAAGAATACACAGTAAGACCCAGAAGAAGGTCAAGGTTCCCAGGCGCCGGACGGGCCCACTCTAAGGCCCGTGCGAACAGCTCACCTTGTAGATGGTGTTTCCCAGCTGTGCAGGCGACATGCTGACCACAACCCCTGCGCTCTGAAGGGCAGAGATCTTCTCCTTTGCGCCACCTTTCCCTCCAGCAATAATGGCGCCTGCGTGACCCATTCTCCTGCCGGGAGGAGCCGTTAAGCCAGCAATGAAGGACACCACAGGCTTGGCTTTGGGGCCCTGAAAGGTGAGATTTCAAACATCTAATGAAGAAGTTGATCAACGCAGAACATCAATTTCATGACTATCGGTGAGTGGCTTGGCCAGGGCCGTCACTCATCCTCACTAAGGAAACCACACAAATATTAATCTGTGAGTGAGACCAATGCTCTCCCCACCTGCGATGACTCCACTTCTCATACAAACGCAGGAAGACAGTCCCAAGCAAACTTTTTACCTGATTAAACTTCCACTTCGCTGTACCAACCGTTGTACGAATACACACAAAAAAGCACACTTGAAAATATGTGATTTGTGATAATTAATTAAAACACACGATCAGCTTGTTTTATTCAACCTGCTTTTGTCTTAATTCCTTACGAGTTCACCCTTAAACCTTGGAAAGTAGAGATGAGGTGGGAAATGGTGCAGACGTGCCCAGTGCTGACACATTTCGTCCTGCATCCGCAGGTCACACTCAGTGTCAGCACGGACCTCATCAGAAAAGTCTTCGGGAGGGATGTTGTCAAGGTGACAGTGGCAGACATAAGTTTTCCAACATATTAGCATTCGCTTGAAAGCTCAAACTGTGCCACTGGCAACAAACACTCCCAGCTGTTTTCCTCGGCACGGGGGGTTTGCTTTGTTCGTTTCTGAGACGAGGTCTGCAAATACCGAGGTCTGGTTAGCCACTCTGCCTGCCAGTTGTTTTTCCGGGTAAAACTGGTGAAAAGCAGCTAGTTCAGCTCACCGTGCAGTGGCAAAGTGCTTTACTTCCCATTTCATCACAAACTGACTCACGGGCTAAGATTTAATTTAATTAAATTAATGATTTTTCCTGCTTCATAAGGAGAGTCTTCAATAAAATTGGCTTTTTGTTTCTTTTTGTTCCCCTGGAGTACACGGCAGAGAACGATGACGAGGCAGTTTGCGGGCCTGCCCTACGTCGTGCTGAGGTGCCAGCAGGCCAGGCTCCACGTGGTCTGAGCCTGCTTACTCCAGCCCCGCTCCCGCCACTCCTCCTGCTCAGTAATTCCAGACGCCCCGCCTCTGTCCTGCTGAGGGTGTCTCCATCCTCCTTGGGTTCCTGGCAAATTCCTACTTAACTTTTAAGACTTCTCAAACCTTTCGGATGCCTCCTCGCCTCCTCCCACACTCTCCACAGATGCCCTTCAGCCAATCATCTTCTGCCCCACGGCCCTGCGGTGCCTGTCACACATTTCTATTCACACGCAGCACTCTGGCGGTAACTTATGTCTCTGTGTTCCCCCATGGAGCTGTGAATTCCCTGAACACAGGGACTATGTCCTCACTTAACAAAAGATTCCACAGTCATTTATTCATTCACTCGCGAGCTCTGCAGAGGTTATGAGCATCTCACACGAGTGGCACTAACTCTCAATACTTTCTTTATATTATACATCCTCTTAGGCTCAGCTCTGTCCTGCTGAGGGTGTCTCCATCCTCCTTGGGTTCCTGGCAAATTCCTACTTAACTTTTAAGACTTCTCAAACCTTTCGGATGCCTCCTCCCACACTCTCCACAGATGCCCTTCAGCCAATCTTCTGCCCCACGGCCCTGCTGTGCCTGTCACACACTTCTACTAACACGCAGCACTCTGGCGGTAACTAATGTCTCTGTGTTCCCCCATGGAGCTGTGAATTCCCTGAACACAGGGACTATGTCCTCACTTAACGAAAGATTCCACAGTCATTTATTCATTCACTCACGAGCTCTGCAGAGGTTATGAGCATCTCACAGGAGTGGCACTAACTTCACTAAATTCCTGTGTTCCTATACTCTAATAGTGGAATACCACACTAGGAAGGAACAAGATTATGATGAGACTAAATGTCAAACAAGTTTACACCCCATTCTGTTAACAAAGAAAAGTCACTTGAGATTTTTAAGCAGAGAAAATACAATTAACAGACTTTGGGGAACTGGATTCTGAAAATAGGTCGTAGAAATGATGACAAGGGTGACAGCACAAAAAAAATGGACCAGTTAGGAAGCAATACACGAGTGGCACTAACTCCACTAAATTCCTGTGTTCCTATACTCTAATAGTGGAATTCCACACTAGGAAGGAACAAGATTATGATGAGACTAAATGCCAAACAAGTTTACACTCCATTCTGTTAACAAAGAAAAGTCACTTGAGATTTTTAAGCAGAGAAAATACAATTAACAGACTTTGGGGAACTGGAGTCTGAAAATAGGTCGTAGAAATGATGACAAGAGTGACAGCACAAAAACAGAAGGACCAGTTAGGAAGCAACCAGTGGAATCTGAGCAGATACAGAGGACCCCTGACTCCTGTCCCGAGTCCCTGAAATCTGACCCTTGCGCTCCATGGCCTGAGGGAGAAGGAGACCTGGGTTTTCAGGCAGGCCATTAACCTCCCTGGGCCAGTTTCCTCACTCACAGGACAAGGACAAAGGGTCAAGATAAAGGTTAAGCAATACTACTTTTGCAAATAAGTACTGTCAGTGTAACAATGATAAATATAGTAGTTGTGGCAGCAGACACCATTATTGAGAGTTTGCTCTGTGCCATGTATTGTGCTAAGTGCTGTGTATATCAACTCAACTGTCCACCTCGCATCTTGTACAGCAGGTCCTCAATAAAAATCAGCTCCGTAAGAATTAGCCAGGAAGAGAAAAGCATGTCCAAATGAAACAAAACATGTATGTTTAGTTTTGTCCATTAACATCTACCCTACTTGAGGGATTCAGAGTTGTGCCTACGTACATTTTAAAATTCACTTTAACAAAGTGTAATGTCATATTAATCTAAATCTTTTTTTCTTAAAAAAAAGTCAATTTTTACCTTCATTTCAAACTTTATACTTTTCTGAATTCAAGAGATTCTAATACATCTTACTCCAATCTACTTTATTCTTCACTTATTCAACATGTAATGATGCCTACTGTGCCAAGGGCTGGACTGGGCACCAAGGATACCAGTTCCCTACTGTCCATAATAGTCTGGAGTGACAGCCAGATGGTATGCATGCCTGGCAGAAGGCATAAGCAAAGGCAGGTGGGAATGAAAACAACTGGCACGTCAGATGGGGCAAGGTTCTGAAAAGGAAGGGTAGAGGGATGTGAGGGGCTGGAATACCACACGAAATCTGGCCTCTATCCTGATGAAATAAGAAACTGTAATGGTTTAAAGCCAGGAGGGTGGAGGCACCGATGTCTGTGTTTCTGAAGGGCAGACAATTTGGTGGCCAAAAGCAGGATGGCCTGGGTGGCGGGAATAAAGGAGTAGAGATATCAAGAATAAATTTTCAAATAGGCCAGGAGAGAGAAGATGAGGGCCAGAACCAGGTCAGAAGAACTAATTACAGACGACAGTCTGAATCTCCACACACTGAGACATACGCTAGGAACTGAGTGGAAACGAGAGATGAGAGATAAAGATGGTTCTGAGGTTTCTGTCTTGAAGCTGCATGAAACATGATGTTGACGATATGCAATAACCACTCACACTTAAGCAAACAGGCACAGCAAGTAACGCCAAGGAGCATAAAGAAGGACCTGGAGAAAAAACAAGAGGAAGGAGAAGATGAAGAATTTATTGAAGCCATTGGTGACCTCTGCAGAAGCGATGTCAGGAGAGTAAGATTCAGCAGCAACAGCAAACAGCTCAATAAGAGTGCCTACTACGTGTCTGGTGCAACTCTGCTATATGTTCCTAAGACACTTAAACCCCACAGTCCTTACAACTATGCTAGGAGGTAGGCACTGCTGGAGTCCTGTTTGCCAAGAGAAAACGGAGGCGCGGTGAAGTTAACATGCCCAAAGTCACACTGATTCTAAGTAGCAGACAGATGCCAGGGTGCTGAGGATTAGTGGGTGAATAAAAAGGAAAGAGATCCAGAAAGTGAGGGAAAAGTTGTTACATCTCCTACCGAGATCAGAGTTTAAAATCACTACAGGGTGGTGGGCACATGGTGCAATATACAATTCTTGTAACATAGAAACCCATTATGCTCATGTTAACCAATGTCACCCCAATAAATTTAATTTTTTTAAAAAATCACCACAGCCATAGGCAGTTTGGCTCAGTGGATAGAGCATCAACCTGAGGACTGAAGGGTCCTGGGTTTGATTCTGGTCAAGAACATGTACCTGGGTTGCAGGCCCTGGTTGGGGCTCATATGGGAGGCAACCAATCGATGTGTCTCTCTCACATCGATGTTTCTCTTTGTCTCTCCCCTTCCTTCCACTCTCTCTAAAAATCAATGGAAAAATATCCTCAGGTGAGGATTAACAACAACAACAAAAAAATCACTACAGAAGAATAAATCAAGTATACTCAAAACAGTCCTTGAATATTCCTTAAATCATGCATAAATACGCACTGTTTTGTGTATACTACCCTGTAGGTGATACTATTGGTTCCATTAACTCTCTAGTATTCATTACTTTTCTGTAGCATTTAATTCATTCACTCCTCAATTTCCTTCACAAACACAGAAAGTGATCTCCGCCCACTTGCCTGCCTCCTGGCCCTGCTCCTTCATTCTCAGTGTCAGGGACATCCTTGAACTCACTGGCTTGTTGCCCCCGGGTCTTTGCCATGGCGTCCAGAGCACACAGTCACTGAGTGGGGCTGCTGGGCACCGAGCTGCTTCAGTCCTCACTGCACCCTCTCTTTCTTTTCCACCCCAGAAATAGAGCCTAATTCCCTTAGCCAACAGAAGTTATGATACAATTCCACACGTTTTATCTTTAATTCTAAGAGAGAGGCAATAGGGAAAGCCTTCACAGGACATAGGTAATAAAGCTTTTCTACTTGACCTCTAAAGGAAGTACTACTCTGCAAAGAAATTCTGAAGCCAGAGGGAGGTGAGAACCTGGGAAAGGGTATAAAAGGAAGGGTCTTTAGAAGGTTAGCCGCGAAAAAGAAAAAGAACAGTTATAGCCCCTAAGATGGAGAAAGAACAAGTACAATGGCAGGTCAAGGGAGGACTTTTGGGCCAATGACCTGAACAGCTAGCTCTCCGATCAGCAGGAGCCCAACTAACCTGCCATACATGTGTGAAGTGATGCTTAGGGAGGAGAACTCAGAGCGGAGAACAGGCCCCGCGGCAAAGGGAGAGGAGAGCCACCCAGAAAGTTTCCCCGGGGCCAGTATGAAAGACTCGGCTCAGCACAAAACAAGAGGTCTCAGGTTGGATGCCTGGTGAGGGCACATGCCCGGGATGCGGGCTCGATCCCTGGTAGGGTTTGTACAGGAGGCAACAGATTGATGTTTCTCTCTCACATCAATGTTTTTCTCTCTCTCTCCCTCTCCCTTTTCTCTCTAAAAATAAGTAAAAAAATATTAAAATAAATATAATAATAAATAAAGGCCAACCTCAGAAAGGTTTGATTTTATCTTTCGTGTTTTCTTGAAAACTTAATCTTTATAGAAATAATTTCCAAAACAAGCCAATGGTATTATTCAAGAGCAAAGAGGTATATTTTTCCTAAGCCAAACTCACTGAATTATGCTGTTTCAAAAATTCTGCAGCGTTTTCTTCTGCATTACCACCGATTTCACCAATCAGGATGATGCCTTCTGTGGCTGGGTCATTCAGAAAGACTTCCAGGCAGTCGATAAAATCTGTTCCATTAAAAGGATCACCTCCAATGCCTGAAAAGATCAGTGAATATCAACAGCATGAGAATTAGGCTGAGAAATGTTGTTTCAATTTTTTCTCTATTTTGTCTACCCTGCTCACCAATATTTTCAACGGTATCATTTCTCTTGCACTAAACATTTTTTTAAGAAATCACAAAATGGTGCACTTAGTTGTTTTTAATATTACATGAACCCTAAATGGTGGTTGGATTCTGATACAAAGAAAAACCTCTTTTTATTTTAGCTCCTTTATCAATTCTCTTCCCTCCCACAAATTCATGCTTAGATAACAGTTTAAAAATGAGCATTTTAAAGAAAATGTATGTTTGTGTTACAAGCAAGAATGTCTTTTCTCATTAAACATTTAACAAATTTCTTTGCACAAAGTAACTATAAGTGAGGCACGTTTCAGAGAACACTCACAAGTGTTAAGACACAAGGCCCAGTGAAGGACGGGCTGAAGGGTGCCCTGGCGCCTTTCCTTCCCTCAGCTCCAGGGTGGGTGATGACAGAGATACACGGAGGGGCTCGACTCCACATATGTGACATTTGAAGAACAAGTACTTGGATAGAATTAAAGGCAATATTCCTTACAGACTAGATGTCACATTTTTTTAAAGTTATAAACTCACTGAAGGCAGGACTGATTTCCTACCTTTAGTGCATCTCTGATGGAGTTCTGGAAAGGAAGCAGCATTTACTGAGTGACAACATGTGTCAACTACTGTGTCTCAGTACACGTCACACCTGCCATCTCCTAATACGTCTCTGTGACATAGGCCCTGTTAGTCTCAATTTGCAAATTAAAACAGAAGGTGAAGATGGAATTGGCAACTGTTTCACAACCTTTCTATTTTGTTGTTGCAAATCCTCATCCCAGGATATTTTTTCCTTTAATTTTTAGAGAGAGTGGAAGTGAGGGAGGAAGGGGAAAGAGAAAGAAAAAATAAATCGATGTGAGAGAGACACATCGATTGGTTGCCTCCCACACATGCCCCAAACAGAGCCAGGGATAGAACCTGCAACCCAGGTACTTGCCCTTGACTGGGAATCAAATCCATGATCCTTCCGCGCACAGGCCACAAGCCGATGCTCTAACCACTGAGTCACCAACCAGGCCTCAAAACCCCTCTTATTCTCCATCAGACTAAGTTACCTAGAATCTAAGATTGTGCTTCATACACAGAAAAGCCATGTTTCCTATACTAACTTATGGATTTGAGTCTTCATAAAAAAACTCCATGGCCATAATTTTTATTATAAAAATCTATTTTTGAAAGGTTTTTAAGTTATTCTAAGAATTTGAAGAAATATTTATGAAAATGAGAAATTTGCCTGGCTTTTGGCAACAAATACCAAAATAATTTTAAAATCTAAATACCTTTTTAATTTTACAAGTGGGAGGCAGTAAAAAGAGCAGCAAAAAGTATGATGCAGCAAAAAGAGCAATTCTGGGGAGCTTAACCTTCCTCAAACTAGACTTGCTCACCAACTTTTCAGCTCAGAGGTATTTTAGAGGGTTGCCTTAAGAATCAGATAATGGCCCTGGCCAGGTGGCTCAGTTGGTCAGAGCGTCTACCGTGCACCCATCAGGACACACACCTTGGTTGTGGATTCGATCCCCAGTTGGGGTACATACTAGAGGCAACCGGTTGATGCTTCTCTCTCACACATCAATGTTTCTCTCTCTATAATCAACACAAAAACATCTCCTTACATGAGGATTAAAAAGAAAAAAAAGGAGAATCAGATAAAAAAATCAGATAATAAATGGCAAAGAATTCAGTAACTGTGAAGCACTGAATTATATAGCTTATAATGATAGCAAATGATAACTATAACAACAAAAGTCCTAATATGAAGGACTGCTTGTTCCCAGCAAGCAAAATAAGTGATGTTTTCAGGCACCAAACCTCTCCTGGAGCCACATGTCTAAGGTTGCTTGCTCTTCAGTGTGGAATCTTGGACTATGAATCTTAAAAAACACAGTAGGGCTTCACATTCATGCAAATTAAATTTGAGATCAAAGCATCTTTTAATAAAATGGTATCAAAATCTCTTGCAAATGGTCAAAACAACAATTACTATCATACTCATTCAATGAAAATACTACATTTCAGTGAAATGATTTTAGCACAAATCCCTCACCAATGCACAAAGACTGCCCCAGTCCAACTTGTGTTGTTTGGTGAACTGCTTCATAAGTCAGGGTGCCAGATCTGGACACAATACCTTAAAGAAAGAGAATTCAAAAATGTTAGAGTGTGTTCATATGACAGACTATCACAGAACAAACTAAATTACAAATCTGAGTACATATAAAATCCACTCCATGATATGTCATCCAAATCAACAATATCTTCAAATGAAATAAGAAGAAAAGGCTTAAATTAAAGCAGGGAGGGTTTAAAAGCTAGATATAGGAGAAAGCACATTATTAGTTGGGGTATTTTATGACCTATAAAAGCAATGTAAGAAAGGCCTATATTACCTCTTCTAAGAATCTTTGGGAAAGGGATAATAATATCCATGTGAACTTGGGGGGTACAATCTTGCTTAGGGTGGAAGAATGCAGTGGGGCCTTGACTTACGAGTGTCCCGACTAACGAGTTTTTTGAGATATGAGCCGTCTCTCGACCGATTTTTTGTTTTGAGTTGTGAGCTAAAATTCGGGTTATGAGCCAGCTTCAGATACCCCACCGCTAGTTGGCACAGTGAACGTCACAGTGAACGCCACAATATCAGCCCAGCATCACATGTCACCCTCGTTCACTTTTTGATTTGACATATGAGTAATTTGAGTTACAAGCTCTGTCATGGAACGAATTAAACTCGTAAGTCAAGGCCCCACTGTATTCAGATTAGACTTACAGATACCCAATCTATTAAACTACCAAAACCTTCAGCCTTAGAAAACTCCATCAGTCACATTTAGCAGTGCTATCTATTTCTCCCACAACTACTTTTCTAATCATTTTCAAAGAACATATAGGCTTTAAAGGGAAGTAAGGTCCCAATCCCTGAGTTCAAGTCTACCATGTAACTTCCTGTATACAATGGGCCTGTGTGAAAGGACCTCATTTCACATCTGGACAAGGTGCGCAGATGTATGGGGTGGGGCGGTGGCAGCTAGACCATCTTCTCTTGACTGAGCTACAGAAAAGGTAATTTATTTCATGCCACAATCAGTAAATAATGAGTGGATCCTTAATTTTAATAAGTTGAGAAGTATAAATGAATGACTTCAGTTGTTAGAACACATTATATAAAAATGTGTTTTTTTAAAAAAAACAACAAACTGATATGGGCTAAATCAGCACGTGAATTCTGGGTGGTGTCCATGGTTTGCTTTCTTTAAACTTCTGCTTTAGAGCACTTTTTAAGAACTCAGAAGATTCGTTTCTAATCGTAAGATCTCCCTACCAGGGCAAGTAGACAATAAAGATGTCTATTCTTCCTAAACTGACATATAGATTTAACACAATTCCTGTCAAATCCCAATAAGAATTTGTCTAGATATAGAGAAAATCCTTCTAAAATTAATATAAAAAAGTAAAGAAACTAGAGTAGCTAAAAAAAAAAACTTAAAAAAAACCCCCAAAGTGCAAAGAATCAGTCTATCCAATTTCAGGACATTATTGTATCAAGAGTGTGTGGTATGTTCTGGTGTTAAATAAGCACATGAGTCAATGAACAGAAGAGAGAATCAGAAACAGACCAACACCAATATATCAACTGATTTTTGACATAAATGCAAAAGCAATTAGTGGAAGAAATATTTTTCTTTTTAAAAAAATTTTTTTTATTGATTTCAGAGAGGGAGAGAGATAGAAACATCAAAGATGAGAATCATTGATGGGCTGCCTCCTACACACCCTACACTGGGGATCAAGAACAAACCCAGGTATGTGCCCTAACCAGGAATCAAACTGTGACCTCCTGGTTCATAGGTCAATGCTTAACCACTAAGCCATGCTGGCTGGGTAGAAGAAATGATTTTGTCAACAAATGATGCTGGAACAATTGTACCTCCACAGGCATTAAAATAGAAACTTTTGATATAAGTCTCACATCTTACTGAAAATTTAATTGAAATTGAATCACGGATTTAAATGTAAAACTAAATCTTTCAGTAAAAAGATAGGACTCTTGCTAGGCAAAGAGTTCTTAGAGTTGACATCAAAAGAACACTTCACCAAAGAAAAATAAATTAGACTTCATCAAAATAAAAAAAACATTTGCTCTCTGAAAGGTGACGAAAGAGGATGAAAACACAAGCTCCAGAGTGGGAGAAAATATTTGCAAACCACATATCCTATAAGTGTTAGTATCTAGAATAAAGAACTCTCAAACTTAACAGAAAAAAGCAAATAATCCAATTAGAACATGAACCAAAAACAAAACACACAGACACATTTCACTAAAGAAGATATATATTAGTAGGTGAGAAGCACGTGAAATATAATTAAATTCACAATGAGATATCAGTGAACAATTATCAGAATGGCTAAAATAAAAAATAGTAATACCACAAATGCTGGCAAGGATGCGAATCACACATGTATTACTGATGGAAAAGTAAAATACTATGGCTAAATGGATAGAAATGTGGCAGTTTCTTAACAAACAAACATGCAACTATCATACTATCATACAAACCAGTAACTGTACTCCTAAGCATCCCAAAGAAATGAAAACTTATGTACAGTGGGGCCTTGACTTACTAGTGTCCCGACTAATGAATTTTTTGAGATACCAGCTGTCTCTTGGCCAATTTTTTGCATTGAGTTGATAAAGTAATTTGAGTTAATAAGCTCCTTAACGAGCTCGGTCTCGGAACGAATTAAACTCATAAGTCAAGGCCCCAGTGTACATACAAAAGCCAGGACACAAATGTTTACATGTTTATTAGAAGCTTTATTAATAACTAGAGGCCAGGTGCATGAAAATTCATGGGACTGGCACAGCTCGACCTGTGCCCTCTCGCAGTCCGGGACCCCTTGGGGGATATCCACCTGCCAGCTTAGGCCCACTCCCTGGGAGGTAGGGGCTAAGTTGGCAGTCAGACATCCCTCTGGTAGCCTGGGTGCCCTCAGGGGAGGTCTGACTGACAGCTTAGGCCTGGTCCCCATGAGGAGCAGGCCTAAGCCACAGTTGGACAACCTTAGCACTGCCGAGGTGGTGGGAGATGCTCCCGCTTGTGTCTGAGCTGAGTTCCCCCTGTGGGAGCGCAATAACCACCAGGGGGCAGCTCCTGCATTGAGCATCTGCCTCCTGGTGGTCAGTGCTCATCTTTGCGACTGGTCGTTCCGCAATTAGGGTCAATTTGCATATTACCCTTTTATTATATAGGAAGGATAGTCCCAAAGTGGAAACTGAGACATCTTTCAAAAGATGAATGATCAAACTAATTCTGGTATAATCATACCATGGAACACTACTCAACAATAAAAAGGAATAAACTATGGATACATTCAGCAACCTGGTTGAATCTCCAGAGAATTTCACTGAGTGTGAATAGCCAATCCTAAAGTATATACTATATAATCCCATTTATAAAGCACTCCTGAAATGACAAAATTATATAAATTGTGAACACATTTTAATTACTAAGAATTAAGAAAGGGGTGGAAGCAGGAAGGAAGTAGGTGTAGCTACAGAAAGGCAACATGAGGGATCTCTGTAGTGATGGGAACATCCTTTATCTTGACTGCATCAATGTCAATATCCTGGTTGTGACTTTGTACTACAGTTTTTGCAAGCTGTTACCATTGGGGGAAGCTGGATAAATGGTACACTGAAATCTGTCTATATTATTTCTAGCAACTATATGTAAGTTGGCAATTATCTAAATATAAAAAGTGTAATTAAAATAAAATTTTTAAAAAGGATGGAAGGGTCAAGTATGTCATGTATGGTTGAAAGTAAGAATAATGTCTACCATAAGAGAACTAAAAACCATAGTGCAGTTAAATACCACGTTGGAATCCAATCACTTCAGTAAATTCAATTAGCTGATATATACTTTTATTAACTCACTAACACAAACTGGAAAGTCACTATAGTATTGCACTGCTACTGTATTACATTACAATGTCCCAAGAAATACCCAAGGGACTAAAAGATCCTTTCCCTAAACTCTTAGCTTAAGGATCTGAAGATAATAAGGCTTCTGAGGACATTAGCTTTGGTATCAAAATAGAAATAGTGCATATAATCATCTTTTCTCTCCTCACTGCCTCAAAAACCTTGTAGTATCACATACTTTCTTTTAGGTGAATTTGTTTTAAAGCCCTTTTTCTCAAAGGAATTAAAAGCAATGTTCCAGAGGATTGCCTTATCCATGTGTTATGGTCATTCAGAGCACCAAGGTCTAAAGGATTTCCCTTAACTTCTCAGTTTTTTGGTTTTTAGGTTTATGGGCATGTAGAAAAGCAGGATAGAGATCAGAAAGACAACTCGGCATAGGGCACTCCTTCTATGATCACCTCAAGTCTACAGTAGCAGCCATTCAAAGCAGACCAAAGAGCACAAAAAAACCTCAAATATGACAACAGGATCAGTGTCTAAATGAGACAGGCCCCCACTAGAACTCAGATGGTCTATGGAATTCCCATGGCAAGTATCCTACTGGCATCATGGCTGCCAGCTCTAGGAGACAGTAGTAATAAAGAAAAATTATGACCTTTAACCTAGTCCTGTGAACTACAAAGCTGAAATTCACTTACTATGTTGATTATTCTTATTATTATTAATAGTCATGGCTTATAAATTACTGTAACCATCAATTACTGTGCAGAAATAGTATAGGTTAGTGAGGGTTAGGTGTGAAGAGTATAATAACAGGCATTATGGGCTTTGAGATGTTAATTTGGTTAAGACCTTGAGAACTAAACAAGTAGCAGTACAATTTTCCTGAAACATTTTGAGAAAGTTTGTGATATCCAAGAGGGCAAAGTAATTATAGGGCAGGACACAAAAGAACTAACAATAAAAATACTCGCATATATCTGATAAAGAATTTCTATCCAGAATATTTATAGAACCCCATAATCAACAATAAATATATAATCCAATAAAAAAATAATGTGGAAAAAGCTTAAACAGGTAATTCACAAAAGAAGATATATAAATAGCCAATATGCACATTCTACCTCATTAGTCACCAAAACCACAATGAGACCCCATTTCACTCCCAGTAGAATGGCTAAAATTAAAGACTGAAGTAATGGAACAACTGGAATGCTCAAAAACTGACAGTAGGAAGGTAAAAATGAACAGCCACTTTATAGAATTATTTCACAATTTCTTAAAAAGAAGAACATACTTCAACCCTATGACTTAACAATTCCATTCCTAGGTATCTTACCCAAGAGAAATGAAACCATGTCCATAAGAAGACCTCTACATAAACATTCACTTTAGCTTTATTTATAATGGCTCAAACCTGGAAATAACCCAAATGTTCATCAATGGGAGAATAAACATATTGTGATATCTACACTAATAAAAGAGAAACATGCAAATTGGTGTCACTCCGCTATGCCCACCAGCCAATCAGATGAGTATACAAATTAACCCAACAAAGATGGCGGTTAATTTGCATATGCAGGCGCAGAGAGAAGACTGAAGACAACATAGAAGGAAGCCAAGCACTGCAGAAGGGAACGAAGCTGTGGAGAAGCAAGCGGGCGGCGGAGACGGGAGGGAAGCAAGCGGGTAGCGGAGGAGGGAGGGAAGCCCGCCTCAGTGGGTTTCGCTCTCTTCTCTGCTTCGCTCCAGCCGCAGGAAGCTCTATTCTTGCAGGAATCTTCCTGCAACGGGCCTCTAGTAATTACATAACGGAATATTAGTTAGCAATAAAACGAAATTAACTATTGATACACCCAAGAATCTATGGCATCTGAGCAGGAAAAGAATCTTTTAAAATACCCCTAAAATATCTTCATTGATTCTATAGAATCATTGCAACTTCTCAAACTCATTTAATTCAGGATATAGAACTGATTCACTATAAAACTCCCCTGCCAATTAAAATGAATTTAACTTACATAGTCACAGATTCTCTTTGTAAGTTCTGAGCTTAGGACAAAGAATTTTTTCTGAATCTATAAGAAACATACTCACCAATTCTTCCTTTCTTGTGAATATGGCCAGGCATGATACCAATTTTACATTCTCCAGGCTGAAGAAAAGGAAATCACAGTTTCAGAAAAGTGAAAAGAAATGGTAACTCCCAGGTCATCCACACAGTACACTTGGACTGATCCAAAGGTAATGAGCCTTGTGAGGCTAAATCCGGGCTTCTTCTTTTGTACACTCACATTGATGACTCCGGGGCAGTTTGGCCCGATCAGCCTTGTCTTTCCCTGGCGCAGTATTTTGTGTTTGACCCGTACCATGTCCTGCTGTGGGATACCTTCAGTAATGCACACGACCAAGGGCATTTCCGCCTCAACAGCTTCATCAATGGCAGCAGCAGCGAAAGGAGGAGGGACATAAATGACAGATGCTGTCGCTCCTGTCTGTGCTTTGGCCTGAAACATTAAGCACAGAGCACTTTATTATTGGTTCAGTCATAACCATTGAAAGACGAATTCAATACCAGGAATTTAATAATGTCTTGGGGTCATAAAAGGACACCACCAGAACATGGTATGTCCCCCTGGCCTCCTCCCTGCCCTCTTGGAATGCCACTGAAATTAAAGGGTCAGAGACATCCCCCAGGCGATGGCTTATCAGTAAACCTGAAAGCATGGCCTGATTTGCATTTGTGTCCCTCACTCCTACGGCCATGTTTATTTCTGTTGCTTGTAAGACACTGTACCACCTATTCAGTACCAAAGACCCTGTACCTCCTCAGGAGAAAAAAGACTATTGAGTCCCTGAGCCTCAGAACTAGACTCTCAAAAATCTTTTTTTTTTTTTAATATATTTTATTGATTTTTTACAGAGAGGAAGGGAGAGAGATAGAGAGTTAGAAACATCGATGAGAGAGAAACATCGATCAGCTGCCTCCTGCACATCTCCCACTGGGGATGTGCCCGCAACCCAGGTACATGCCCTTGACCGGAATCGAACCTGGGACCTCTCAGTCCGCAAGCCGACGCTCTATCCACTGAGCCAAACCGGTTTTGGCAACTCTCAAACATCTTTTTAAAAATACAGTATAATTGCCCTGGCTGGTTAACCCAGTTGGTTAGAGCATCATCCCAATACGTCAAAATTGTGGGTTCAATTCCCGGTCGGGCCACATACAAGAATCAACCAGTGAATCATAAATAAGTTGAACAACAAATCAATATTCTTTCTCTCAAATCAATCAATTTTAAAAATACACATGTTATACTTGATAAATATAAGAGACAGCAAAAGTGAAGTGTTTTTTAGCTGACAATTTTTACTCTAACTGCATGTTTATTAGGAATAAACATGTGTAAGTGGCCACAGAAAAGAGTGTGGGTGAAAGAAGCATTAGGCATCACCACAGCTCTTCACGCTTAGACACTGAGGCCAAGATATTAAATAACTTGCATGAGATTATATAGCTGGGAAGTGGCAGAGCCAAGATTCAAACCTAAGTCTATCTGATTCCAAAGCATCTAGTCTTTTCAGTTACAGCAGGCCACCTCCCTGCACGTGTTCAAAGGTAACCTAGTCATGGTATAAATCAAAGCCCTTCGGAAGTCTGTGCCATGGGATTTTACAATGGATAATACAAATACAAAGCTACAGAACATTCAGGTGCAACTAGAAGGGGACAGAAGTAAAAGACAGTGATGTTCCACATCCCCAGAGTCAAAGGATGTTGCCAGATCATCCACAAATGATGCCAATGGTTAAAAATATGTTTTTCAGCCCTGACTGGTTTGGCTTAGTGGATAGAGCATCAGCATTCAGACTGGAGGGTCCCGGGTTCAATTCTGGTCAAGGGAATGTGCCTTGGTTGTGGGCACATCCCCAGTAGGGGGTGTGCAGGAGGCAGCTGATTGATGTTTCTCTCCCATCGATGTTTCTAACTCTCTATCCCTCTCCCTTCCTCTCTGTAAAAAAATCAATAAAATATATTAAAAATATATATGTTTTTCAAAAACTCTGTTCAAAATGGTAACAGAGAAAGGGTAACAAAAGAAATAAAAACTAGGTTGAAACCAGAAGTCAGGTCATGGGCAAGTAGGCATTTTATAGAAAATATTTCCTACAGTTCTCTCCCTCTTCAGGCTACAAATACTGTCAGAAGCTGGAGGTAATATTGGATAAAAGGTATCCATCCTACTCACTCGGAAAGCTCCTTCTAAGAGCTGAACAACTGAGAAATAAACAGTACCTGTCAAAGAACTTACAGAATATTCCAAATATATCTATTTGTATTATGATAAATAAAAAATTGCTTACCAACAAAAATTTTCTTTAAAAGAAAGTGAACAAAAGGCTCATGACAAAAGTCAAACCTACCTGAAGGAATTATGAAAACTGCTCCTCCTGTATTTTGAAACTGACAACAATAACCAGACAAGCAAAGGAAGCTAACACTGCCTGTCCTGGAGGCAGCCATAATCAAATTTTTTTTTTAATATGCTTTATTGATTTTTTACAGAGAGAAAAGGAGAGGGATAGAGAGTTAGAAACATCGATGAGAGAGAAACATTGATCAGCTGCCTCCTGCACACCCCCTACTGGGGATGTGCCCGCAACGAAGGTACATGCCCTTGACCGGAATTGAACCTGGGACCCTTCAGTCCGCAGGCTGATGCTCTATCTACTGAGCCAAACCAATTCGGGCCATCATAGAATTTAAGGGGAGAAAACAAAACAAAAAAATTAAAGCAAAAACTTTAAATGATTCTTCCACTGCTCATATTATTTGTAACTTTTTTAACTCTCTAAAATACAATACACTTAAAGCACACACACATATAGTACACCCTATTTTTAAATTTAAAGTAAAATAAATAATTCAAATTTGAATGATAACCTCGTTTTTTCCTACATCTTAGGATTCAAAGTACAAATTAACTTACAATTTGAAGTTAGCATTCTGAAAAGAAATTATCTACAAATCTGTACTTTAAAAAATAATACTTAAAGCATGCCCTAAAAGAAAGGGAGGAGCAGTATATAATTTTTATCATTAATTCATCACTCCAAAGTACTAAGTTTATTTCCTAGATATTTTTAATTAAATATTTAAGAATTTATACTACCATTTCTTTTCATTTTTTTCTTTTTTGTTGAATTTACTGGGGGTGACACTGGTTAATAAAATTATAGTTTTCAGGTGTACAATTCTATAATACATCATCTGTGTGATTGTACTATGTGTTCACCACCCTGAGTCAAGTCTCCTTCCATCACCATTTATCCTCTTTACCCTTTTCTACCTCCCCTCAGGCCCATTTCCTTTAAAATACTATTATTTTTATATATATTCATGTAAGTATGCAAAAGAATTACACATGGCTTAAATTAGCTCTCTATAAAGCAAAAATTTAACTTTACAAACCTTTATATCATCTTAATTTGTACAATAAGCACATATTCATTTTGTAACGAAGTTTAAAAATCATTTTTAAAATTTTATTAAGAAACTAGAGGCCTGGTGCTCAAAATTCATGCACTCGGGGGGAGGGGTCCCCCAGCCCGGCCTGCTGTGCCCTCTTGCAGTCCGGAAGCCCTTGGGGGATGTCCGACTGATAGCTTAGGGCCGCTCCTCAGGCTGCTGCGGAGGCAGGAGAGGCTCTCACAACCACCACTATGCTCGCCAGCCATGAGCCAGGTTTCTGGCTGAGCAGCACTTCCCCTGTAGGAGCACACTGCCCACCAGGGGGCAGCTCCTGCATTGAGTGTCTGCCCCGTAGTGGTCAGTGCATGTCATAGTGACCAGTCGTTCCGCTGTTTAGTCAATTTGCATATAAGGGTTTATTATATAGGATCAGCAATTTAGGGAAGAGATTATAACTCTGACTTGTCAATGTGACACAACAGTTTTTCACACGGGAACAGCACACTACTCTGATCCATGCTAAGCCTGCCACTTATCAGCTGCGAGACTTTGAACTAGACCCTTAACCTCGCTGCACTAGTAATATCCTTGTCTTTAAAATGGAGAGGATAACAGCACCTACCTCAGAGTGAGGCCTGAATGAGGCACTGTATGTGAAGCACCTAGTACAGTGCCTGGCAAATGGCCCATGATCAGTAAGTGTTAGGGCTGATGCTGGCATGTGCACTACTAACATCCTGGAAGAAGAAAGGATAGAAAGGATAACAAGCCAAACAGAAGCCGAGCCACAGCACTCTTCCCCTAGGAGCTGATGTGTGTCTGTAACCAGAAGTGACACAGGCTGTGGAAAAAACATCCTGGACATGTGTGACTCAAGTGAATCCATTGGTTTTCACTGTGATTTAAATTTCTCTAGGTTACTGGATTTTAAAATGGCACATGACCCTCCCAAAAGGAGCACAATTAAGATCTGTATCCAAAGGATGCTCATTTCTCCCTGCTTTTCTTTTCTTAAAATATACTAACATTTTTAAATGTTAGTATAAAATATACTAACATTTAAAAAATATACTAATATATTTACTAGAGGCCCAGTGCACAAAAATTTGTGCACTTGGGGTTGGGGGGGGGGTCCCTCATCCCAGCCAGTGCCAGCTCACAGTCTGGGATATGATTACATTTATTAATCACTTTGTTAGGCACTTTGAGGGTCCCCACTGGGGTGCCTGGCCAGCCTGGGTGAGGGGATGATGGCTGTTTGCAGGCTGGTCATACCCCTTTCAGGGTGGAGGTCCCCACTGGGGTGCCTGGCCAGCCTGGGTGAGGGACTGAAGGCCATTTTTAGGCAGGCCACGGGCTGGTAGCAGGTAACTGGGATTTATTTATCTTCTATAATTGAAACTTTGTAGCCTTGAACAGAACTCAGGGCCGGCAGGGCAGGCAGGAAGCTTAGCTTCCTCCATTGCCAGGGGCAACCCAAGCCTCCTGCTCACTCCAGCTCCTTGGCCGCTGCCATCTTAGTTGGGTTAATTTGCATATTCACTCCTGATTGGCTGGTGGCAATGGCTTATGGGTATAGTGTAGGTATGTAAATTTGCATGTTTCTCTTTTATTAGATTAGATTGATTTCATAGAGGAAGAGAAAGGGAGAAAGAAATAGAAACATCAACAATGAGAGAGAATCATTGATCGGCTGCCTCCTGTATGCACACTGGGGATCAAGCCCACAACCCAGGCATGTGCCCTGACCACGCCCTGACCAGGAATCGAACTGTGACCTCCTGGTTCATAGGTCGACACTCAACCATTGAGTCATGCTGGCTAGGCCCTCCCTGCTTTTCTTTTCTTGCCACACCATCACCCAAGTACCAATATTTACCTCCTTTACAGTATTAAAGACCGGTAAGCCCAGGTGCGTCTTGCCTCCTTTCCCTGGAGTGGTTCCTCCGACGAGTTTGGTGCCATACTCCAAGGCCTGCTGGCTGTGAAAGGTGCCCTGAGGGGGAGAAAGCACAGGACTCTGAGAAGGGCCAGGCTGGGAAGCCAAAAGGCAATCTTCAGTAACTTGGAAAAGGAAAACAAACAAGTGAACTACTCAGAGATAACAGTAGCAAATACCCAGCATTCTCACCAACTTACTACATAGCTTTAGACCATGAAGCAAATAGGACTTTGCAAAGCCAAAAAAGCTGTTTGTTAAAGAAAAAAGGGGGGGGGGAGATATAGAGAGGGTGTCTCTTTTTATTCCGTTTTCAAATTTGGGTGGGGGTCAGAAACACCCTCATATTTGCTTGGCACCTCTTTGTCACTATTCCTCAGCTCCAGGTGTCCTCACACTCCTCTTCACTCAATTTAAGACCCATGATCAGTCATTACACTCTCACGGCAACCTTGGCTCTCCCTCACTTCAATTACACATCTGGCAAAATCAAAACCTTCATTAAATCCAATTCTCCACCTACTCTAAGATGGCACATTTGTAGCCAAACAGTAGCTGAAGAAAAAACAAACCATGCTAACTGATCTCACTTTAAATTTATGGTCACTACCGTAAGGGAGCCTTTTAAAGCTGCCCAGACAACATCTGTATTTCCCTATCCAGCCACTCTTCCTTCTCAGCCTCGACACTACTGACATTTAGACACATCGATTCTTTGTTATGGGAGACTGTCCTCTGCTTTGTATCATGTTTAGCAGCATCCCTGGCCTCCACTCGGCAGATGCCAGTAACACGCCCTCTTCCCCACCGCCATCACCTGTGACAACCAAAAATGCCTCCTGACACGGACCCATTCTTTCTTACTAGGCGTCTGGGCTCTACCTCCCCTGGCTTCCCTCTTCTCACTCTCTCCTTAGACTTCTCATTTTCATCTAAATTTGTGCCCTTGGTGACCTCCTCCCTTATCATGGCAATAAATATCCATACGGTGACCCCTCTCCCATACACATACAGACAGCCCCCACACACACATATCTAGCCCAGACCTTTGCCTTAAATTCTATACTCACACTGTCAACTGCCTAGCTAACATCTCCACTTGGAGAACGAGTAGGTGTCTTAATTTAAAGAGCTCAAAACTGAGTTCTTGATCACTCCCCTCCAGTCTACTCATCTCAGTGAGTGACAACTCCACTCCTAACAGCTGTTCTGACCAAAAATACTGAAGTCATCCTTGATTCTTCCCTTTCTCTTACATCTCACATCAGATGCATCAGTGAAGCATATTGTCTTACTTTCAAAATAAAACTGACATCTTTATGGCTTTCTATGGTTTCTGCCTTGGTCTAAGTCACCATCAACTCTTGACAAAATATTGCCCTTGCTTCCTTTCAATCTATGCTCAACACAGCAGCCAGTGATCCTGTTAAAACACAAGGAAGATCATGTCACTCCTCTATTCAAACCTTCCAGTGGTTTTCCATGTCATTCACAGGAAAAGCCAAACTCTTACTGGTACACTGGCCTACAAGTCAGTATCCAACCTGCCTCCCCATCTCAGAACCCTTACCTGCCTGCCTCATTTACTGTTCTCACTGCTCCTTTCACTTGTCACAGCGGCCTTGCAGCTTCCACACGTACCAGGCACATTCCCGCCTCACAGCCTCGTGGTCCCCTCCGCAGCATCCCTGGCCTCCACTCAGCAGATGCCAGCACCACGCTCTCCTCCCCAACGATATACTGCTCCTACATATCCACCTGCTTCACTCTCACATCTCACTTAGATCTGGACTCTGGGCCTTCCCCTGACCACATGATATAAAATCCCCCCTTCCCGGTCTCCACCATGACTCCACAAACTTGCACACCTTCCTCCTTCTCTGGTTTATTTTCCCCATAGCATTTATACTTCCTAACATATCACATAACTTACTCATGGATTTTGTTGATGTGTTTCTCTCCCCTGCAACTAAAATGTAAATTCCATGAAGGCAGTGATTTCTATCCTTTTTGCTCACTGTGGGATGGCACCTAAACCAATACATTACATACAGAAGGTTCTCAATTAAGGACTTGTTGAAAACTGTGTGGGTCTATGTGGTCATTCCACAAGGATATGAAAATGCTGACTCAACTACTCAAATTCTATTAAAGCAGTGGTTCTCAACCTTCTGGCCCTTTAAATACAGTTCCTCATGTTGTGACCCAACCATAAAATTATTTTCGTTGCTACTTCATAACTGTAATGTTGCTACTGTTATGAATCATAATGTAAATATCTGATATGCAGGATGGTCTTAGGCAACCCCTGTGAAAGGGTCGTTTGACCGCCAAAGGGATCGCGACCCACAGGTTGAGAACCGCTGTATTAATAGACTAAAAATTAGGGCCCTAAAGGGACTTAGACATTTCCTAATTCAACTACTCCATTTTTCAAACTAGGAAGCTTAGGCCCTAGCAAGTGAATTGACTTGTCTCAAGTCAGTGATGGAATTTTGGAAAGAACCACAGCTCTCTCTTTAAAGCAGTGCTATTCAAAGTATACAGATTCCTTCTGGTCTGCAGTGACATAAATACACACACACACACACACACACACACACACACACACACACACGAAAATGACAGGAAAGGTGGCTAGGTCAGGAAGAAAGGAAAAAAAATCTAATAAAAAAGTGAGAACATTTGCAAATTTTTACAGCAATATACTGCTGAGGGTTTTATTATATTTTGCAAAGGTATTAATCTACATTAGAATGGCAAGGAAAAACAAACCGAAACTGGACTTTCATTCCTAATGTAGTGCTAAACAGCAGCAACATTTCCTGTTAGTAAGCTGATTTTCCTTAGTTTTCCCATATCATTAGCCAGTGCACAGTTAAGAACTGGAATATTTTTAGCAGCCATCTAAGTCAGTCTAAGAAATTCCATTGGAAACCTGCACTGTTGGAATCCACTCTGAAATAAAAAAGAGCTAATAAGACAAAATGCAGATTTCCTATGAAGATAAGCTCTGTATTTCAGACCTCATCATTACCTATAATATTGGAATCTTAACCAAGAAATCTAACTAAAGGAGAAACGATGTAATTGCAGGTCACCAACCTTAGATTTCAATATTCAGGCAAACTATCACCTAATTAGAGAGAGTTCCAAATAGTCCTTACACCATGGATAATGGTTCTTAAGAAAATAGGCCAGAGGTTAAATGTCATAAGATCATATAAAGTTTAGCAAACAGAAAAACAAAATTATATGTAATAAACATATGTGGGGAATTTGGGTTAATCAAACATTTGGTTATATGCTAACAAAATTAATAATAATCAAAAAGAGACTGCATTTGGCTTTCATTGGCAGGGTATGCAACCTAACATGTACTTCGATTCTTAGATGAGCATCAACTTTGTTTAGAATGTAGGAGTGATGCTCATAAAATATATGGCTATCAGAATAAAAAAGTCAGTTTCACCTATAAAGAAAATTTCAACGTTTTGTAGGTGTTTCTTTTTGTTAGTAGTGGCTTTTTTTTTTAAGATAGTAGAGAAAGAAAAAACAAAAGTCCACTGCAATTCATATTTTCGTGCCCAGTTATTTCAAAAACAAGTCAAAAAGCAAAGGGACAGTTTATATAAAACAACCTTCAAACCAAATTCTTTTTCTAAAAAAAAAAAAAAAGAACCATATAATTTTAAGTAATTTCTAAGTACTTTAAAAATAAAAGTTACAGAAATTTAATATTTAGGTGGCATCCTCTATCTAGATCAGGGGTTGCTAAACTATGGCCTGAGGACTTTGGCTTTAAATTAAGTTGTACTGACATATAACTATGCCCATTCACTGACAATTGTCTATGGTGGCTTTTGCTGTTACAATGCCATTGAGTGGCTGTAACAGAGCCAGCACAGCCCACCAAGCCTAACACGTTAACAACCTGGTCCTTTACAGAATAAGCTTGCCAACTCCTACTCTAGATTACCAAAATGCTGCAGCATGGGCATGACAATTTTTTTCATTACAGAAAAATTAATAGCATTTAAATTACAAAAAAAAATCATTATCTGCTCTTATCTTGTCATTTCTCCTTTAGTGATAAAGGGATACTTTGAGTTAAGACACAATCATCTAATTGATTTGGTAGTATGCCCTCATTAAAGAAAAATCTGTGCATCTACTATGGTGCAACTACAAATTTGTACAAATGTTTTAAAGGGTAACTTAGCAGTAGCTGTTAAAATTTTTAATACATAGAAACTTTGACACCCATAATTACTTTTGAGAATATATTTTATAGACATACTAGTGGCCCGGTGCATGGATTCATGCACATTGAAAGGAAATTAATTAGAAGAAAGATTCATGCGGTAACTACGTTACTGCAAAAAATTACATGTCAAAATAGTATATAGAATATAGAATTATAAAATTAAAATACAAAATATTTTAATATCACTATTTGCCCTTTATAATGGAAGTGTCAAGATGAAAGAAAATTAGTCAAATGTATATGAAAATAATATATAGATTAATAAACAATAACATGATATAAAAACAACAAAGACATGATATAAAAATAACAAAAACATGCTATAAAAACAACATTGATAAAAACAATGATTGATAAATTGATTAATAAACAACATGATATAATTACAAAGACATGATATAAAAACAACAAAAACATGATATAAAAACATTGATAAAACAATGATAAATTGATTAAACCAATAAAAAATTACATGTCAAAATAGTATATAGAATATAGAATTATAAAATTAAAATACAAAATATTTTAATATCACTATTTGCCCTTTATAATGGAAGTGTCAAGATGAAAGAAAATTAGTAAAATGTATATGAAAATAATATATAGATTAATAAACAATAACATGATATAAAAACAACAAAGACATGATATAAAAATAACAAAAACATGATATAAAAACAACATTGATAAAAACAATGATTGATAAATTGATTAATAAACAACATGATATAATAACAAAGACATGATATAAAAACAACAAAAACATGATATAAAAACATTGATAAAACAATGATAAATTGATTAAACCTATTATAATATCTCCCTGTACACCACATTAAGAGTAAAAACACTTTCAGAGTGCTTGACTAACTTCCCCTGTGATGAACTATTTACAACTTTTACTTTAACGTCACATACTCTTCAAACTCGAGAGAAAGCAACATATAACTGACTATGACCATGTCTGAAAAGAGGTTCAGGTAGGAATATTCCTACTCTAACTAGAGTTTGTCCTTGTGAGTTATTAATAGTCATCGCAAATTCTGGCATCACGGGAAACTGCCTTCGAATTAATTTAAATGGAAGGCCAGTGTCAGATGGGGACAAGTCAATTCTTGGCATCAGAACAACCTCTCGTTCTGCAGATCCTGTTAATACTTCAGCTTTGATTATGTTAGGTCACAATCTTTTGATAATAAATCTAGTAGCATTACAAAGACTCCATTTACCATTAAGATTTCTCAGTAGCATGATGGTTGCACCTACTTTCAATTTTAATTTATGACACAGCATTACCAAAGGAGTAATATTATTAAGAAATTCGATGGGAAATTTTTCCTTTTTGGCATCATCCATTGAATCAATGGAATTATCACTCAAATAAGTATGAAAATCCCTTTGAACATTTTCCATTTTCCATACATGGACTGTTTGGATTTTGTATTCCACATGGTCCATGTACCATATTTGATTTTACAATTTGAAAAAGTTGAGGACACTGGTCTTCATCTGGAATTTCTGCCTTAACTATATGGTCAATATCATCTTCCATTCATAATTTGGATTCACTGTCTAATATCAATAGTATGTGAGAGTGAAGTGAGGTAGTCCGCGTTTCTGAAATTCGATGGCATGAATATTAGCTATTATTTTGCCAAATAAATTGAATTTACATATATCATTTAAAAGAGCATTCAGCTTAAGATTAAAAATCCTGGTATGTTGTGCCAATAGTTGGTCTTCAGGTACATTCTGGCGTCACAAGCAACTGGGCCAGTGAGAGCTTTATATGTATCACACATCCGCGAGTCAATATTTATTTTTAAATTGCCAGTGTGTGTCATATGTACCGGCCAGTTGGTCAGTCAGTCAAATGGTCAGATGGACGGTAGGTCACTTAGCTTTTCATATATAGAGATATTTGTAGGATCTATATTATACACCATATAATGTGTTTTAAGATATGTATGTATTATATATCTATACAATATTGCATGTATTGTAGAATAAGCTCTGTAGAATGCACATTATATAAATATAGATATGAGCAAGAAAACTATCTGGAAGGACACATTCAACTTGTTAACAGAAGGAATTCCAGGAGAGAAGAATGGTGGAAAGAGGGAAAGGAGATTCTTATGTTGCATTTTATTATGGAGTCATAGTACAGATATATTTAAACTTATGCAAATTCTATAATGTAGGCAGGGGACAGGGAGAGAGAATAAATATAAATGAATGAGAACAAATTAAAAAGCTTCCAGCAATTCTTCCTGTTAGCCTCCTCCAAGACCATTGCACAGAGAGAACATCAGATGGGAGAAGTCGATGTGCTGCTACCTCAGCCTGTCTCAGACCCCAGGAGCCTCTCTGGGCTGGCACATTTCCCCACATTGACTATAGAGCTATTTTTGACTGCGTATTATTTTTGTACAAGACTTAAACATAAGCCGCCTACTTTACCTACTGCTTAATTAAGGAAATTGTGATCTGTCCTAGTGCTGGAGGAAAACCAGTAGTGTTACACCTGCTGAAGGAGAACATGTGGGTTTCCAACATAATATAATCCCAGGAGGAATTTTCAAGGAAAGCTTAAATATAATTTTCATCTTAAAGGCTGAGTATAACGAACTTCCTCCATTGCTGTACTGTGTTCCTTTTCTGCAACAATCATGCATTATAACTTTTGTTGTATTAAAAACATAGAAAATCATGAAAAATGTTTTGCATCTATAGCATACATCTTTTAAAAAAAATCTTGAAACATACCTGCTTACCAGTGAAACCCTGACAAATAACCTTTGTATTTTTATCAACGTAGAGATGTTTCCGGGAAGCTACATAAGCACAATGCCGAATTCCATTCTGTTGCACTGAAAAGTAAAGCAAATATGATACGTTATAATGTTTCCAAACTTCTGGATCATCAATTGAACTTGGTGACAAAAAAAAAAAAAAGACACTGTTCTGTTTTCCAGAATACCCCTTTACTGACAATCTCTATCTTACAGCTTTTTCTGAGCTGGCAAAGAAAAGCTCAAGTTTATAACTTTCAGTCCTCAAAAAGAAACAGGCTGGAAGACGAATGACTCAAACTCAATCCAGGGACTGAAATCCAGGTGTCTCTCCCACTAGTAATGTTTGCTAGACAGCCACATGTTTCCCCAGGAGACCCAACCTCGTTAAGCCCAAATTCTATAAACAACAGGTGAGAGAAGAGTAAAACTTTGTCAGGACTCTATATCTCATTCCCCAATAATAATACTAACATTAAATATTAACATCAAATGCTAAGTCTTAGAATAAAACTTTTCTAAAATAGAATCCAATGTTAAGTCATAGAATTAAACATCTAAAATAATCCAGTTACTTCATTTTAACTCTTCAAATATAACACTCAAGACTTTACATATTAAAAAAAAGAGAGAAAATAAAATAGGAAAAGTAGATGTGGGAGAAACATTTTTAAAAAGTTATTTTCAGCAACCTATCTATCTCAACAAAAACTGAGAAACCTATGTAGTTACTAAAGCCAACTCTCCATATTTCAAAAACCAACAGAAAGTAGAGATCAGACGAATTAAAATTGTGGGCTACTTCTGACTACCTTTAAAGCCCCATTAGAGCCCCAAACTACTGTGTCCATGGCCCATCCATGGTCCTTTCAAAGTGCTTGGCTGTCCACCTACAACTGAGGCAGTCCAGAAAAGCACATCTTATCACGCCAGGTTCCACGCAAGGCTTTTCGTCTTGAATCACTGCCTCATAGCTCTCCTAAATCCTCGGGCCGTAGGTTCCATAACTTATCTGCTTCTGGCCCTCTGAGCACCCCCTGGGTCATCTCAACTCACATGCTGAGCACAGCTTCTAATACTTTGAATTCTGGAGTCCCATCGACCTCCAGGAGAGAGACAGGCCCATGTCTCCCTACCAACGGGGAAAGGAGTCTTCTGTGTGCACACAGACCTGCTGGATGACAAACAGCTGCATTCTTGAAGTAGATTATGCTGAGCAAAGGGCCCTGAGGGAGCACTGAGGGTCAAGTCCTGGCATACGGGGCACGGCCAAGCAGCTGAACCTGGGCCAGTAGACTCCACAACAGGAATCTGTGGCCTAAGAACCCACCCTAGCTAGTGGGTCCTTAGCTGCCAATTCTCCTAGCTGGATACCACAACCCTCATGGAAGAGCTGCACCCTCTCCTCCCTGGCTGCTATTCCTGGCAGAATCTGCTCCAGCAGCCCCCCAGCTCCCCATTCCCGGAATCTCCAATAAATAGTCCATCTACCTGGAATTTTCAGGCAGGAAAGTAGATTTGATTAACAAGCAAATGATAAAATCAGAATACCTGGAGCCCATCCTTACTAAAAGGAAATGCTTGCTTTTTGAAGGTAAAGTCTTGTCCTCCACGTGTTCTCTTATACCCTCTCACTTAGGAAAGGAGCCATCAGACAGTTAATGTCTTCTTCTACAGGGGAGGATAATGTTTGCCCCCTCTCATCCTGAGAAAAGACAGGTCTACCTCTGTACATAAACATGACCTCAATACCAGAACAACTAAGACTACTACCTTCTCTTACTCCATATCCTACTCCGGACCTTCTAGATATACTCTATGGAGCTCAAGCTTCATAACACCACATGCTGGTGCTCATAAAAACTGCTTTGCCCTGACCGGTTTGGCTCAGTGGATAGAGCGTCAGCCTGTGAACTCAAGGGTCCCAGGTTCGATTCCGGTCAAGGGCATGTACCTTGGTTGCGGGCACATCCCCAGTAGGGAGTGTGCAGGAGGCAGCTGATCGATGTTTCTCTCTCATCGATGTTTCTAACTCTCTATCCCTCTCCCTTCCTCTCTGTAAAAAATCAATAAAATATACATATATATAAAAACTGCTTTGAAAGTGTGAGGAATGCAGCTCCCCTTCCAGTCTCCTAGCCCTTTGTTACTGCTCAGCCTGTGCAATGACCGTGCTATTCTACAGCATCTAGTGAAGGGGATCTTGGGAGAGCTATCTTGCACATGTGTGGGTGTGTGCACATGTGCATGTGAGCCCCCCATCTACTATATCAGCCCAGGCTCCTCAGACCTAGTTTCAGGTAAGCTAGAACTAACAGACTATCACTTTGAGCCAGCCCAAAAATGTATGTTCAAAGATAAGGAAATGAAATTCCTGGCCACATTCCGTCCTGACAAGAAACCTGGATGATGCCAGACAAGATAACATTGGTACTGAAATGAAAGGATGCTAGAATATCAAGCACATATCCAGTCCCTGGGATTGTTATGATCATTCATTTATTTAATCAATATTTGGGGAGAACCTATGCCAAGCCACAATGCTGAGTATCAAGAAGTAAGTGCCGAGTAAGAGAATCTGGGCCCTCAAAAAATCCACAATCCATCTGAACTGACATAAAGTGGGCCACAACCGCACAGTGTGAAAAGTACTGTTGTAGGCCTTGGGCATTTGGGGTAAACTCTCCTATCCCAAGTAAATCTGTGGGCGGAGAGCAGAAGTCGGGAGACGCAGGGATAGAGAGAGAGGGTAGGGTTAGGAATGGATTCCTCATTGGGGCTACCTCCAAATTGAGCCCTGGGCTGCCACAATTCATTCCTAAAATCTGACACTTGACCTCCCACTTTCTAAAAAAAAGTGGTTTGTGTTCCTGGCCATGGCTATAATCCCTCAGGAACTAAAAACTCTCTTCACCTCTGCCCTAGTCCTGGCCCATGTATGCCCTATGTTCTAGGGCGTATAATAGATGCAAATATTAGTACCCTATGTTATCTGCCGGGTACTAGGGATTCAGGGCCCCATGCCATCCAAACTGATACTGCACCATAGGGATAAACCAGTCAGAAGAGGTCCTAGGTAAGGAATCACTGCTCTGGAATATGTAGATCAACTGAATGAGAAATGACGGCAATCAAAGTGGCCTCTGAACCCCAGAGAAAAACCTTGAGGTGCCCCAGCAGCCACAATGGTGATTCAACAATCACCATTAGGGTGTTCTTCCCTAATGAAATTCTTAGTGTACTAGATAACATATAATACTAATGCCACACACTGTATGAGGATGGGCGTGTAAATTTTGTTACTTTCTTTACTACATTATATCTAAGTAGAATTAATTTCTGTTTAAATTTATTTTTAGATTATTTCAAGTACCATCTAAATATTTTTAGAACTTCTCACTATAAATCCCTGAGTGCAAGAACCATGTCTTATACACCATGGTAAGTGCAGGTGCACGGAAAATGTTTGAATTTTAGGACAAGAGGCAGGGTCTGCAAAAGAAACACTATATCAAGCAAAATGTCTTTAAGTTCCACCTCTTTCTGTGTGATTTGAAAAATATAAAGATTAGAGGTTTCCCTAAAATCTGTAGATTACACAGAAGTCCAGCCCTCAATACTACTAGCTGTCCTCAACACTCTATCAATCTAGTACAAATTCCATGCTAACCTTTTCTTTTCTTTTTCTTTAACAAATGAAATCCAGGAGCAGTCATGTGATACTGAAGAAAAGAAAGAGCTCAGATCAAAATATACCACAAGCAGAGTGAAGGCAGTGACAGACCAGGAGAATGTTTTCATAACATGTTAACAGACAAGAAATTAACCTTAGCAACATGAAACACCAACAAGAGACCAAAAGCCTGACAGAACAATGAATAAAGGCCACAAACAAGAAAGACGACTGAAGGCAGAAAAATGGTAAATCAAATATGAGGAGACACTGACTTTACTAATATTAAGAAAATGAGCATTTTTAACTAAACACCAGGGCGGCAGGAAGGCCTGAGGCTGGCCGCCAGGAAGAATTTCCCAGTGGTGAAGGCTGTAGCTGCCGCACCTTGGGCCCCCTCCAGGGAATGTGGTGGAGTCGCCTTCCCTTCAGGTTCTTACAAACTGGCCAGCCTAACCTTGGGACTGAGTCCCAGGAGCAGCTGAGAACACAGTCCCAGGAATCAGACAGACTGAGTGTGTGCTCAGCTGCTCACCAGCCCTGTGATCTGGGGGAAGTCTTCTGATCTCCCTTCGCCTCAGTCTTCCCATCTGTAAATGGAGTAACAGCTGCCCACGAGGATGCTGTGATGTTGATATGAGATGATGACTATAACTGGGTAGCAAAATGACTGGTGTACTCCCAAAATTGGGTTCACATCCGATGTGAGCACAGATGTAAATCATCTTCTAAAGAGAGCATATATAATTCACATTTTAAAATAAGTCCAACCAGAATGTTTTATACATGTCTTCATGCATATTCTGTTTGTATGTAAATATACTAATCCATGTCTACATATAATGTGTATGTGCACACACGTGTAGACTTTTAACATATGAAACATTTTAAAGGTGCAGCCGCACTGTAAAAATAATGATAATATGATGTACCTCATGTGCAATTTGGAAATTAAATGAATTCATAATATGTAGAGCACGTAACATAATGCCTAAGGAAGAGCAAATGCTATTTCACTATTAGCTATTTATTACCATTTTTATTACTCATGCAGAATGAGAAGACCAAACTGCTCTGAGGTCTTCATTGTGCCAGGTTATCTGCCAGGTACTACGGATTCAGGGCAGAACAAGATGGATGGACTCAGGCCCCACCCACATGGAGTCTGTACAAAAGCTAAACATTAAACTAAGAAACACAAAACTACAAAAGTGCAAAATGTAACAAAGGCAATGAAGGAAAGGAACTGAGAAATGGGAGAGAGATATGCTCGCAACAGGGATGGCAAATCTGTATCAGTCAGCCACCAGCTGAGTCCTCTTCCACATAGAGAGCAACCACATCCTTTACAAGATGCTGTGGGATTAATGAAGCTACGGCCAAAGAGCACCTGCCCAGATTTGACTCAAACCACAGTACCATGTTCCTAACCATCACCTGAGACTCCGTTCATGAAAATACTCCTCCTTCAGCTCACCTCAAACTGTGTCCTTGTTACTCATTTATTCATGCACATACTCATGAATTTAACAAATGTACACTTATTAGGAATACTAGAAGCCCGATGCACGAAATTCGTGCAAGGGGCTTGGCCCTCACAGCCCTGGCTTCGTCCCTAAGATCATCCGGAAAAACATCCGAGAGGACGTCATTCAGCTGTCCAGTTTAATTAGCATATTATGCTTTTATTATTATACTAGAGGCCTGGTGCGCAAAAATATGTGCACTCGGGGGAGAGGGGGCCCTTCAGCCCGGCCTATGCCTTCTCGCAGTCTAGGACCCCCTTGGAGGATGTCCACCTGCTGGCTTAAGCCCGCCCCCTGAGGGATCGGGCCCAAGCTGGCAGTCAGACATCCCTTTGGCAGCCTGGCAGCCCTTGGGGGATGTCCACTTGCCAGTGGGGATCAGGCCTAAGCTGCAGTCAGACATCCTTAGTGCTGCTGAGGTGGCAGGAGAGGTTCCCACCACCACCGCTGTATTGGCAGCTGTCAGCCTGGCTTGTGGCTGGGCAGAGCGCACTGACCACCAGGGGACAGCTCTTGCATTGAGCATCTGCCCCCTGGTGGTCAGTGTGTGTCATAGTTACCAGTCATTGCCAGTCGTTCTGCTGTAAGGGTCAATTTGCATATTACCCTTTTATTATATAGGAGTGCCTGGCCAGCCTGGATGAGTGGATGATGGCTGTTTGCAGCTGGTCACTCCCCCTTCAGGGTGGGGGTCCCCACTGGGGTGCCTGGCCACTCTGGGTGAGGGGCTGAGGGCTGTTTTCAGGCTGGTGGGTGACTGAAGCTCCCAACTGCTCCTTGTTTTCTTTTTTTTTTTTTTTTTTTTTGCTTTCACTTACACATACCTTTCTTTTAAGGAAGTAAAAAGTATTAAGTTCACCGATTCTGAAAGTCACAGCTTGTATAGCACTGAACGATAGTAGCTTTGAGCGGAGCTCAGAGCCCGCCTCAGCAGGCAGGAAGCTTGGCTTCCTCCGTCATTGGGGCAACAAAGTCTCCTGCTTGGTCCAGCTCCGC